ATCCCTGGGAGGTCATTAGCCCCACAACCCTGCTGTCTGTGGACATCTGCTGAAATACATATAAAGAGGTCTGGATGATCTCAGTGGTATCCGATCCCCCTTAATTAGGGGACATTTTGCCCATGTGCCCTGTTGTTCCCCAGTGAACCTCTCTGAGGATTTTTTCTGAAATCAAACGCCCTCCCCTCACCCCCCTGCTTTCATGTGAATCAGAGAAAGGGCATGACTATATCAGTGCAATCCTATTTATGTCTCCTAAAAGGTGACTTCCGTAGGGATTCCTCCACGTCAGTGGGTATCACATTGCAGTCCTCATTGTGGAGGAACACTGCTGTATACATGTGTTTTCTGAACAAGAATATTTAAAAAGGGAAGGGGGTGCTATCCCTTAGCTTACCCTGCCACTGTGGGAAAAGTGAGGCGCAGCCTATTTTTTTAAAAAAACAAAAACACTGTAAGGAGTAAGCCAGACAGCTGACATTGTCCTTGAGGAAATATCTAGAAAGTGGCAACATCCTGGATCTGCATTCAGAAGGCACCCAGATTGACCCCATGGGGCTTGTGAACAAGATGGATACATGTCCTAGGGAAGAGGCTGAGCTATCATTACTGCTTCTGTTGGCTGAGAATACCAGTCTTGAGCACTGGATTTAGATGGCCCAGGAGACTGACAAGTTACTCTCTGGAGACAAAAACTTGTGCAGAAAGTTCCTTGACTGCCCCTGAGAAAGATATGCAGACCTGTGCAAGGAGACTTGTATGCCAGACCTGAACAGATTACGGGCATAGTCTCCAGGAATTGTTCCAAGGTATACAGTAGTGTGTAGTTGTAATTCCCATGCGTTATGCGTGCAGTTGCAACACGCCCATGCATTTTCACTGTGTGCTTTATTGATTAACATCATATTCCATGACATTTGGAAGCCTGGGAAACTGAAAGCACTAATGCAGGTAAGTATTTTAATCACACAGGATACACAATGAACTTCAAAAAAGCATTATTTGGAGCAAAGGGTACAGATATATAAAATATAGGAATAAGAGGTGGGGGAGGTATTATATATGGCAATCTTAAGTATATCAGATAAGTTATGACAGTTCTGACAGTTTCACATGGTTTATCCTAAAGTAATTTCCCTCATCTTGGAAGCGTTGGTGCATGTTCTTGTAGAAAATAGCAATAGAGTCTGTAGGGAGTATATCGGCAAGGGAAGAAGAAATGATCAGGGTTTAGGGTGCTGAAGGAGCCTGCATTTTACTTTTTGCATTGGCATCAGGCACCTTTCAGCAGCTAACAAAACACAGTTTTCCTGAGTTGAATTCCCAACTGCAGCAGTGTTCTTTTGAAACTGCTCCCCGCACCCCGTGAATTGCAGATTTAGCTGATGCTTGCACTTTTTCCTAAAAGCCCTAGTAGCGTGACTTTGCTGAGAGAGGGAGCACCTCATACGAGAACTAAGTGGCAGGTTCCCTGGAAGCACAAATGCAGTCACCCAGCCCTTAATAAAATAATAAACCCACTCTGTTGCTTCACAATGTCACCAGCATTTCTGCACTGCAGCGTTCTCATGCACTACCCTCAACACCTCCAAATGGTAATAATAATACTAGAGTATGCCAAAGGGCTGGTGTAACCCAGTCACTTCTCACTCACAGCTTTCCCTCCTGCAATATTGGGATAACACTGAAGAACTTTAGTCACATGCACTGTCAGGGTTTACAACAGTTTACAAACTTGGGGCAGGGCAGGGGGAGTAGCAACAAGACCTGGGTTAGAAAAAGCACACACTTTTGCATCCTTTTGATTTGGAATAGAAACATTTCAGCAAAATCTCAGCTACACTAAACTCCTGCATTTTTTTAATGGGGCAGCAGTTACTTCCCAACAGGACAGATGCTACAAAAAATGATTTAAGAAACTAAGAAATGTCTTCTAAACAGTGTGAAAGGCGAGTGCAGCCTATTTCTCACAAAAAAAAATAGCAGTTGCATCTTCTGCCCGTATCACAAGCTCTAAGAGGCTGAAGACTTGTTACTTTTGTTTAAGAAAATAATTCTGGAAATATATCTAGGGAGAAATTCCCCCTCTCTGCTCCTTTACAGATGATCGACGGGTATTAAATTAGGAGGTGTTATCCACAGAAAATACTGGCAAAATAACCTGGAAAGAGCTGTAGCTACAGGAGTGATTTTTCAGAGGCTCTAGTAGCACACTATGAGAGGAGCAATGGAAACTTTCTCAGCCTTATTGAAATGCTAGCAAAATTTGATCCAGTTGTAATAGAGAATGTGCAAAGAATAAACAATGCTGAAATGCAATCTCATTACTCAAGCAGCATTATGCAGAATGAATTGAAAAGTCTGTTTTCAAAGAAAGTCACTAAGCACATTCTTGAGCAGCAGAAAAATGGAAAATACGAGTCAATTATACTTGACTGTACTCCAGATGTCAGTCATATGGAACAAATGACAATAATAATTTGATTTGTGTCAATTGGGTGGAAAGAACGAAGAATTCAGGAAGTCCATACCGAAAAAAGATTTCCGGGATTTATCCCAGTTAATAAGTCATCAGTGCTGGTCTAATCAAAACCGTTCTTGCAGAACTACAGAGGCTAGAAATTCCTGTTGAGGGCATGCAAACAGAAGTTATGACAGTAGTTAAAACATCAAAAACAAACACTGTGGAATGCACAAAAATATGATTTGAGCAGAAAATCCTTCTTTGTCCTTGCAGTGCTTATTCATTATAGAGCTAAAAGTTGCTGCTTTGTCATATAAGGATGCAGTACAGCTTTTTTGTGTTCCAAAAAATATAAATTTGTATTATCTTCAGTGTGTTTATGGAATGTTTTGAAGAAACATATAGGCAAGTTGACTGCAACCTTTGTCTGAAAAAAGATGACCATGCCAGATCGCTGTAGACCATTCATTCAGAAACCTGATTAGAGAAATATATGACACTCCCAGGGAAATAAGCATCAATTCTAATGTTGATGTTATAGCAAGAAATGGCAAAAGAACGAAAGAACTTTAAATTAGTGTGTGCCAGTGCAATAATACACAGAATTGATGCAGTAAGCAGTGATTTCACCTGTACCAGATGTTGCTGATGTTTTAGAAAGGAGCAAAACTTAAAAGAAGAAGAGTATTGTGCTGATTAAGACTTCCAGGAAGCTGTGGAAAAAGCAACAAGGCTGGCATTAGAGATAGTAACTAAACCAGTGTTCTGAACAACTTCTACAAGCTTCACGATGTGAAAAAAGACTATTCAGCTATGAGAGAGGAAATGAATCTATTAGAGACATGGAAGAACAATTCTGTGTATGTTTCATAAATCCTGTGTTCTTTATGGCAATTCAGTCTGCTAGGTTTGGGAAGATGGACCACCAAAGTAAATATTGTGAATTTTTATATGGCATTAAGAAATGGGAGAAAGTTCCCTGAGAAGAATTTCTGAAGTGTGGTCTGGATTTGGAAGAATATGCTACTGATGAAATTTTTAAAATATGGGTTGATTCCAACACTCTCATGAACTGTTTCCATTATGAAACCAAGCATAATGGAAGTTCTAATATTGGAATATGCCATCAGATGCAATTTTTCTCCCACTGTTGCCATTATACTCCAAATCATTTTAGCTTCACTGATCACTGTTGCTTCTGGAGAGAGAAGTATTTGAGAACTTAAAATGATCTACCTTCATTCTTCGTTGCCCCAAGGAAGACAAGTAGGGCTTGCCTACTTCCAATTGAAGAATACCTTGCCAAAGACACATACTTGCCTGTGATTCATGCCAGTGCAAAAGGAAGAAAAGTTAATTTTTAAAAAGTATTTAAGAACTATTTTGTTTTCACATTGTAAATAACATTTTTCTGTGATCTTGAGGTAAATTTCTTAAATCATGGTAACTTCTAACCAATACTTACTTGTTTCTTGTTTGTGATTTATTCTAAATTTAAATACCTCAGCTATGGGCCTTTTGGTTTGCTTGCTTATTCATTTAAACAATGAATGCCTTGTATTTCAAAGAAATGTTTAAGGCCGCTTACTATACAGTGACATGGGCAAATGTTGCAATGTTAAATTCAAATGACAAGAAATCAATATCCCAGGAAATGCATGTTTTTCCCCATTAACCCATGTAATATAGCATGGATGGGGGAGGGTCAAAATGGTACTTTACCTGGGGTACAGAAATACCTTGAGATGATCTTGCTGGCCAGGGAGGCAGCTTCATGGTTCGGAAGACATTTACACTTCTCTGGAGTACCCAAGCTTTACATGCTGCAATAGGGCAACTTCCTTTTAGTTACCGTAGAAGAAACACTGTTCAATCACACAGGAGTCAGGGATAGAGCCAGCACCCAATCATCTAATTTTTCTTTTGATGGAAAAAATGGCAAGTTTGCACTCTACAGTAAAAGCACTAAAAGTGGTTTGGGTGTCAGAATCAAGTTCACATGCAAATTAATACAGCTTATTGAGGGTTTACCCCACCATAAGTTTTGGCTCCAACTTACAGAGCCAGAGGACAATGGCTGAACAGCCAAAGGAAGTCATAGGTCCATGGAGACAAAACTATAGGCAGGAACAACTCAAGAAATTATACATGAACTTGGATGCTTCACTCAATATGTAAATAATTTCACTCTTAGCAAAGGTTTCTATGTTTTCATCCTAGAATATAGCTATGTAATTGCATGGCTGTTTTTAATTTCCAGTAACACTGAGCATGCTTACTCCCAAAATGCCATGTGTTCATTCTCTCAGTCTTTACAACAAACCTACAAGATATGCTGGTATTGCTGTCCCCACCGTTGTCCTCTTAAGAGACGCCAACTCCTCGAAGTAAGCCCATTACTATGGGCAGAGGCAGATCCATTGAGTTGGGCAGCTCATTGCACTGGAGAACATGATTCTCTTGCAGGCTGCTGCTGTGCTCCTTGAAGTGGGAGGAAGGGCTCATGGGAAATCAATCTTGTTCCTCTTCTTCACAGGCCATGGTTGAAACAGTCAATAATCTGCTGCAGCCCCAGGCTCTGAATGCATGGAGGGACTTGCCTGCAAGCGATCAGCTGCGTGCAGCAACCATGCTCCTGGACACCGTAGAAGAAAGTGCCTTTGTCCTGGCGGACAACCTGCTCAAGACTGATATTGTGAGGGAGAGCACTGACAATATTCGTAAGTAGCAAGAAGAACTAGGGGGAAGTTCGTGTCATTCACTTCATCTCAGCTGTGCCACTGCATATTTTCCTGGGAACATATGGCACAAACCAGCTGGTGAAGGAGCAATCTAGCTTTCACAGTTATCAGCCTGTGGAAGATTTATTTGAGACCTCTGATCTTTATCTTCTGTCTTTAATGAAACTTGAGCAAAATAGTAGGTCAGGGAAGTTGTCTTGCATACTAAATATTGGCTGAACTGAATTTTTAGATGAAATTTGGCTTCTGTTCTGGTAGAGCATCCAAGGTATGAACAGAATTTTATCAGCTGGGGAAATTTCCCAGTGAGACTTCGTCACACTAGCTCCCAGGTGGGACCTCATTTGTAGAAGGCAGGGAGAGGAGGAAGGAGGGAGATGACAGGCAGGTTTGTGTTCCTTGGTTGGGTTTTTCTGGCTCACCATTGCTTGTTGAACAGATGCAGTCTGATTGCCTCATGGTGCTTCTTAACCTTTCTGTAAAATGTGGGCAGGTTTTGCCTAATCTCTCCGATGATTCTAGATCTTCTGACTGTTCTTTTAGGGGCTGGCTTTCCTCCCAGATTTGTTTTCCAGGTTCAGAATGTGTCATTTTTGCACATGATCTGCTTACTTTGCCTAGTTTCCCCTCCTGAAAAGCTAGAATTCTCTTGCCTTGCTTTGTTTGCCTGGAGTTCCCAGGACAGCATGCTGCAGAATCAGTAGTATTTGCCCAATAGCTCTGGTCCATAGGATTTGCCCGAGTTCTGTTTAGGCAGAACCCTTAGAGCTGCATCCTGGTGGGATGCTCTTAACAGCAAGCTTTGGGCTGTATCTGCTGCACTGCACACTATGGCCATGTTAGGGATTTCTTGTCTGTCACATAAGCTAGTAATGTCAAATGTATTAGTAAGCAGCCATGTTTCTGTCACTATGATGGGTTAGCCTATAAGAAGCAGTCCTGTTCCATTTAAGTCATTTTTATTTATTTGCAAGTATTGATCAACTGCTTACATCCGCAGAATTCCACGCAGCATACACAAATCCTAAAATCATCAACATTCACAACCGATACATGAAATACGTTATATTTATGTATGCATAGGAGGGTAGGCTAAATTACACAGAGGAGACTTGCATAAACGAAACTGTCTTCATCATGCACCTAAAGATGAAGCTCTGGTGCATATCTAATCTCAGGGGAAAGATTATTCCACATAGTGGGCAACACTACAGTCAAGTTTCTGCTCTGAACAACTGCAGAGCAGACTTTAGGAGCAGATGTCCTCAAGGATCAGATGGATGTATAGGGAAGAGAGCAGCTTCTCAGGTAACCAGCCATTCAGGGCTTTATACCCTAGCAACAAAACACTGCATTTTTATTTATGTTATTATATTTTATCCTGGTTTTTTTTTAGCAAATAGCTAGCCAGAGCAGTACCTTTAGCACAAGTACACTGCTCTACTGGTAGATGACTTCATTCAGGAAACCAGCTGAATTGTTCCATACCAGGTGCAGCATCTGGACCATAAAGCTGGACTCAGGGCTTGATCCTTCTGTGGGAGAGCACCCCACATAGAACGGTCATCCTACCTGCCTCCTGGGGCAGGAAGCCATTCACACACACATGCACACCCCGATTACCATCCTGCTGGCCATCTGCCCAGCACTGCTTCCAGATGCTGGCCCAAGGCCTGCAAGGTTACACCTGCTTCAGGTGTGACGTGGAGAAACAGCTGGGTGTCACCAGCAGACAAATAAGCTTTGCTCCAAATCCAAACAACCACTCCCAATGGCTTCATTTAAATGCAACAAATGCAGGGGATAGAAGAAAGTGCCTCATGGCACCTCACAGCACAATCACCCCCTTGAGAAAGCAGCTTCCTGGCCTGTGGCCTGCTCTCCTGAGGGTGCCTTGGGTCTGGCCTCATTCGCTTCTCTGTCCTGCCTTAGGAGGGCTGAGAAAGTCACCTGGTTTCATTTTAATACAGGCTTACCTGATTTGCACTTCCTTTGCCAATATGCATGTGGAATCAAAGTTAGGATTCAATTTTCAGAATTCTCTGTTTTCTGATATAGTTCCCCAGTAAAACATGCATACAAACATGAGTATTTGTCAAGGAAAGCATGCACCAAAATGTGTATGCTAGTGAAAATAACTCAGAGAAATTGCTTGCGAAAAAGCATGTTAGGCAAAACGTCATATAAAAATGCATATATTATGGCAGGGAGAGCCAAGATTGTGCTTGTGGGGCCCACTGTGCCCCTGGGCACCTTTTCTAGCACCTCCCACTGCGTTGCCCACGTAACACATTTTCTTGCTGACAGCTGGGATTGTTGTGAGATGGCTTTCTGTTGGGTTCCAAGGAGATGTTTAGCATGCTGGGACTCAGGACCCACTTCTGCTTCGTGTTGTCTTTGGGGACATTTGCTTGCCCTTGCTGCGCTTCTCATGGCTGCCATTTTGTGGCAGTGCCAAGGACAGTCCCCGAATTTCCAAAGGACCTATGGCCCAAAAACGTTGCTTTTCTCTTACTGCCTAGCAGTTTTCCAGTTGGGGGATTGCATCCATTCTTAAATCTGCTTAAGAGCAGACACATCACATGAATGGGGCTTCAGGCAAGCCTTGGAAGCCTCTGCATGGTCTTCCTGAGGGGCTTATGGCTGCGACGGGATGCTGCATCCTGGCCTGTACCATTGCAGGCTGGGCATGGCAAGGAGGGCTCACGGCTTTTTTTTTGTAGATTTCCCCTCCCTCTGAATTGCTTGTAACCGTCTCAGGCATGATGCCCCTCTGTGGGCGTGATAGTAGGCCAAGAGGGCTTGATGGTGTGTCATTGCCTTGGCCCTCCTGCATTCGGCCCATAACACGCCCCTTTCCCCTGCTTTGCTAGTGGGACTTTCCTGGTGGAGCCCTTCCACAGCCCTCCCAAGTCCTCCTCTCCCAGTGAGTCGGAACTGGCACTCAGGGCACTCAGCCTACAGAAGGATGGCACCCACAGTGCTCAGCGAAGGCTGGCTAGGAGTGGAGAGTTTTAATAACTTCTGCCTCAACTGGAATCAGTTTATCTGATCCAGAAAAAGGACCTAGGAAACTATCCCCTTGGAAATCTTATTATATTGAGGTACCTGAGGTAAGATTTTTAGGTTATTGGTTTACTAGCTTGAGAGGTTCAGGTTTGGAAAGAACAGGGCACACTACTGTTGACACACTGTCTAAATTACATTTCTCTGAGTTGAGAAAAGATATGGTAACCATTTTAATGTGATAAGTGTGTCTTTTAAAAGGTCTAAGGAATATCTCCTCCCATAGGTGCCTACCTGGATATGAAGGTAATCATCTGAACCTCTCCTCCAGGTTCCCCTGGCAAATGAGGCAAGTTAAGTGGCTGCCAGAGAGAGGGCTTTTCCATTTCTGTTCTCCCAAGCAGTTTAAGAACTGCTTGTCATCTTTTCAGCACTTTGTCCTGCTGCAGGTTTTAATTAGGTTTTACATTCTGGAATGGTTCTATCATTTCCCAGATGTTTTATAGGGATTTTATTCAGTTCTGATTTTGTTCTGATTTGGTTTTAATGTTTAAGATGTATTGTACACCACCCAAGAACTTTGGTTGTTGGACAGTTTACAAGGGCAATAAATAAATAAATTCAGAAATGATTGTGGTATCTCTTTTTAAAATGTGTGTCCTATATTTATGTGAACATTCATCATTACTGCTTTATTTGAATTAACCTTTCATGGTTGATGTTTTATATCTCTTTTGAAACTCCACTGTATCTTTTAAAGTTGATTAAAACATGGATAAAATGTAATCAACATGAAAAACAAAATGAAAAGTGACTTATTCCATTGTGGTAATGTGAAAAAATAGTACGGTCTTCTATTTTTGTACAGAGTTTGGATTCTGGATATTATGGGGTTAAATCCTATTTAAGTGTGTGTGTGCTGATTAGTTTTATGGAAGATGTCAGAAGTTTAGCAGGTATTAGAAGAGGTGTCTGCATAGGAAGCTGAAAGTTTGCAGCAGGCGCAGTAGAATTAAAGGCTACAGGGTCAGCAGGTTCTCAACAAAACACCAGATTTGGAAGAAGGGGAGAATGTTTAATTGGGTTAAAGAATGTCTGTTTAAGAAGGTGAAGAACTGAAGCAGATTCACATTAAAAGACAGGTATAAAATCCAGGTTGTCTGAAGAGGAAAAGGAAAGAAAACAGCAACTGAAGTTCAGAGGAAGATGGCAGGGAAAGGAATTTAGGATGAGGGTGAACATGAAACTGCTCTCTTGACTGGGTGAAGTGCAAAATGGGGGGATAATAATTAATGTTGCAATAAATAATATGAGAGAGAGAGAGAGAGCGAGCAAGCGAGCGAGCGCAAATGTTTGAAACCCTACAGGAGAGAAAGAAACAGAGCTGCTGAAACTCTGGTTGGGAGAATGCTGGATTCATAACAGGAAGATTTTGCTTGGATAAAGGACATGCATAAAGCAGGCCCACCATCAGCTTGGTTTAGCTGAGTGCATTCATCCTGGATACCTTTGGTAGCTGCAGCCAGAGGAAAAACCTTTGCCTGTTGAAACTTCCACTCACACAGCAGAGTGTTGGTGCTCTGTGGCAGCTGGAAAAGCATGGAGTAAGTGTAGGCTGCTGAAGCTTGTGCTCTGAGACAACGTGATTCAGGGGGCAGGGAAGGGAAAGGTTCTGCGCGCATGCTCACACGTTCTCTGGTTGTGCATCTCTGCTCTGCAACAGAGATAGGACTGATGCTCATTTTTTAAATGAAGAACACTAGAGCTTCAGTCTATACTGGAGCTCTGCATATACTCTGTAAGCCCTGCTTCCTACGTTTTCTGTGCCAGACAAGTGAGAGATCTGATACTGGGGTGCAAATTCAATGGGGTTTCATGATTTGGCCCCTGGATTCTGGTTTATCAACCCCGAACTGGTGTCAATTTGCTGTGGTGGGAGTTGAATCAGCTGGAAGATTTCCCTCCTTAAAATGGACCATGATTTGCACATGTAAAATGAATGAAAGAAAGAATTTTGTGCAAGACTGGGTGATTTCCAAAAGTAGGAAGCTGAACCCCATGTGATCCCAGTGTCATTTGCAGAAATAGTAAGACAAACCCCAAATGGTCCTGGTGTGATTTGGGCAAAATCAGGCAATTTATGCAACTAGGAAGTGCTAGGACATAGGGATTTGGGCTTCCTATTTATGGAAATCACCTGGTTTTATGCAAATTTGCTTAGCACTTTTTCAGTGCAGGAATTGTGACCCATCTTAGAGACAGAAGTCTGTGAAAGAAAGCCTGCACATTGGATCAGAATTGAACAGGAATTTCGCTTTCTCAGTAGATGCATAGCCATGGATTCAGTAATTAATCTTGGAAGAGTCAGCTATGTTCTTGGTGTTATAAAAGGAAGCCAGTATGTTCTCAGTGCTGGAGATGGGACATGCCCTCTGTATGTGCATTATGTGCCTTTGATTTAAAGGTATAGTGTGTGACTTCAGACCAGCACAAAGTGCTCTTGCCACCTGCAGTTCTCTTGTTGCGTGCACCTCTGGTTTGCACTATGTACTTGCAGCACATTCGACTGTTAAATGTGCTGGACATCATTGTCCACGGAGTCATACTGTAGGGTTGCTAGATGCTACCGCTATTCACAACATAGTGACCCTGCATCCATATGCAATGTTGGATAGCATGTAGATCACTCAGTTGTTGTGGAACATATTAACATGCAAGCTTAGAAAGAGTAATTAAAGCTGCCACCACCCCCATGATGCTAAGAAAAAAGGGGGTTATGCTTGGCTGGCATGACTCAGTAGACAACATTTGAAAAATGGAGAGGAGGCAGAGTGTTATGTAAGCTGCCTTGGATTCCTTGCAGGAAAATGGTAGGATATAAACATAAGCAATTAAAAATAAATTGACTACATTGACCATAAACAAATGACTTCATGTGAGATTCATCTTTGCTTCACAATATTGAACATTAATCTCCTTCACCACTTCTGAAGAAAGAGGGCAAGGTTTATGTCAGACCACAGCACACCCAAAGGTATTGGGCAGGCCTGGATTAAGTTGAGCTATAGCTGTAAGGCGCAGGTGAGTAAAGGAGCCCCCACATTTGGGAGTTTGGCGCATACACTGAAATGCCAACAACTTACCAAAGAAATCTCAGCTGAGATGGCTTTTAAAGCAAGGGTTTTGCCATGCTCACGGGGATGGCTGTGTAAAGCCATGGACTTGTTCTCTTGATAATTGTAAGCTGAATTGTGTAGTAGACCCTCCATGTTCAGAGACAGACCCTCTAAGCACCAAAGCTGTTCTGTTGCAGTTTTTAATGTGAGAGTCAACCCTTTCAGAGCATCAGTCTAGCTATGGCTCTTGGACTTTGTGGCTTAATGGAGACCTTATGTTCAGAGGTAATGACCTGGTATATACAACCTGGCAACCCACCGCATGTGACCAGCCACGTTGGGTTGTTGTGTCACCCGAGCCTTGCACAGTTTCTGCAAGCTACCTTATTTTTCATGAAGCAGCCACCCAGAACACCCAAGGCAAGTTTTAGGGTTTTTCTTGCCGGAGATAGTTTTTGTATCATCTGACTGCGGCAGGTGGGCTGTTGGGAACAGCCATGGAGCCGCTTGATAAGAACAGCCAAACTGCCTGCTGTTTGCGTTCAAGATCTTGTCATTGTAGGCTCTTCCACCCATGCCAAACTGAGCCATTTGTGCTGGGTTTGTCCAAGGGTTGTAAGTATTTGGGCCCAAGCATGGCTGTCCCTGACGCAAAGAGGAGTTCGGACTACACTCACCATTATGGTGAAAACCACCATAGTGTGGTTTTCAGATTGGAACTTTTGTTTGCTCCAATTAAGTACTATGGATAAGAAGACTGAACCAGCATTTCTCTACTGAATCACTAACTTGGTTTCCTCTATCTTCTCACTTTTTGAATTTGAGTTAATCATCACAAACTACAATAAAACTCAAACGCCTCATTATCACACCATTCTGTCTGCATCCATTTCAGTAGCCGTGGCTTTTTTCCAAGCTATTCTCTGGACAGATTTTTTGTCCATTCATTCCATGGAGTGTGGTGGGTGGGGGGTTACAGCAAAAACAGGGATGGAAGTTTGGAGCATATGAGAGATATGTTGTATCAGACGTTGCAGAGGAGGCTGTGCTCAGCTGGAATTACATCCCTGTGGATTATATACCTGTTGGAAAATCATTCCAATCATTTTTGCCCCTTCATTCCCTGAAGGGTCAGCTAGCTACACCTACCACTGGTACCAGGAAAAAGAAGTAAGTTATGTAGAAGGTGGGGAGCCCAGATTGTTACATTCAGAGACCACAGCACACAAGTGAAGCCTGCCACTCACAGTAGGTGTTAGAAAGATGGAACTCCTGCGTATATGCAGACTTGAGCATGCTGTTATTCCCCATCTTGGCTTTCCACTTTTAAAGCAGAAGTTGAAGGGGTGAGAGTGTGGATTTTTCTCCCAGCCTCTGCAGATTCTGTCTTAATGCTGCCACATTCTGCTTGCTTTACTGGTATTGTTTTGGTTAAACTTTGGTTAAATCGTTTTTTAACTGTATGCATGCTGCTTTTGCGCTGAAAATGAGTTATGAATGTCCTAAATAGAATCTGACCTTCAGTGGGCAAGTATGCTCTGCCAATTAGTGGGGTGGCGGGTGCTTTAGAAGCACCAAAGTGGCTCAGGGGAGCTGAAACAACATCCCATTTGAACCCCGATGCCCTGCAGGACCCTGGACCCCAGCTTTTCAGCTGGTGATGTTTCTCGTGTGTGAGCAGTGGAGGGCATTGCTGGCTTGATGCTTGGGGCCACAGTATGGGCACCTGCACAAAGTAAGCTGCAGGCAATGCCATTCCCTAAATCCAACCATGGTGGCAAATATATCCACACAGAGTCGGCAGAAAGGCTGACCTTAACTGCTTCAGAACATTGCAGAGTAGACATGTGCTTATTTCTTTATTACATTTCTATATCACTCAGAAGCTGAAGCTCTCTGGAGCATTCACAACAATTAATTAACACTGGAGCCCATTTAGTATATTTCATGCCTTTATTTGGAGCTGTGGGGGCAATAATGCAAACGGGCATTTTAATGTCTTTCTAAGCCATTGAATCCACTGCGGAGATTTACACGTACTCTGTTTTCACCTCTTTCATGCTAACAGAGCTGGAAGTTGCAAGGCTAAGCACAGATGGAAACTTGGAAGACCTGAAGTTTCCACAGAATACAGGCTACGGAAGTGCTATCCAACTGTCGGCAAACACGCTCAAGCAGAATGGTCGAAATGGTGAGCTCTGCACTTCAGAATGGTTTCTTTTTGAATTTTAGATTCACTTAGCCATTTCACGTGGTGTCACCTTGAGAAGTAATTAAAACTATTAAAATAAAATGTTGCAGAAAGAAGAGAGGGAGACCAAGGGGCTGGCTAAGCAGCAGGGTGTGGGTGGCACTCACTCACTCACTTGGGATGCTCAGGGCAAGGTAACCCAGGAGAGCCTTCCATTGCAGCACGGCCCCCATCACCATCAGCCCTTCCTTGCTGCAGACGGGTTCACCCAAGTGGTCGCACTTACTCTCAGACTAGGCTCTGCTCCCTGGCAGGCAGCAGTTGCCACGTTAGAGTCCACAAAATACGGTGCCGTGTGCCAAATCTGTGTCTGGAAAATTAATTTCATTTTTAAAAGTCAGAAAAATGCATTGGATGTAAGTTCAGTCATTAACTGAATTTAACACTTTCCCTGTTTTACTTTACAAACAAAAATACAGTTGCTTGGAGGGTTTTATTATGGTTTTTCATAATAACAAAGTATATTTAGACTCTTTCCATAACCTGAGAAAATGCTTTGACAAAGATTGCTGTGGATGTGAGATGTGGCCTTCAGGCTTTCTGTGAGAAATGTCAGCCTCAGTTTACATTTTTTTAGATGTTTTCTGAAGGGTTCATTGGAGCTGACACCAGAAAGAGCCCTCAGGGGATTTTGGATCCCCTCCAAGATGTTAATAAGAATAAGAAAAATTTGCATTTTCATTTTTACCATGTGTCTTTAATTGCACGTGTTTCCTGACATGTAAGTGTAACCAATATGTGTAAATACTTTTCTATGGACTGGGGATGATATTTTGCATTTAAACAAGGGAAATATTAAGTCAACTTGTATATCGTGAACCCTTTGCTTAAAAGTATCCCTTGCAATAAAACTAAAAAATTAAAGCCTCCAGACTAAAACAAAACAATGGGTGGGTTCACACAACATGGGAAGCCATTATGAATTCTCTCAGGGATGTTGTGTCAGGTTGTCCAAACCCTGTCTTGGTGTGGCAGCAGGGTGCATTTAGAAGCCATGATAAGAAACAACAGTCTGTTCTATGGATTCCACACTTCACTACGGCTTCCCTGGCTGTCCAAACCCAGCTTCGTGGTTTCCACTATCCTGTGGTATGTGGTATGCAGCTACCACAGAATCCCCCAAACGAGTGGCAGCTGCAGAAACTGCTCCAGCCATCTAGCAGGGGATTGAATTTCCGGCTTGCTGCTTGACGGGATATGTGCCAACAGTAGGAGAACTGAGAAAGATGTGTGGAAAGCATACTGGCATAGAAACCATTTGATTGTCTGGCACATCCAGACAAAAAACCGCCCTCCATGGAAACCGTGTGGGGCTGCTTGTTGTGACATGTGAACCCAGTCACTGTTCTCAGGCTGTGGGAGTGGAACTGACATGTTGCTCACCCAAGCGCCTTTGAAGGTACACAGAGCATTCTCTGGCCTGTTCAGGGAGTCAGTAGGCCACAGAGAAGGAGAGTATAACCTTACTTTTGCTTGTTTATATTCTGAATCCATATCTTATCACTGTATTTAATAAATTGGGACAGTTCCTGAAGCTGCTCTTTCCAGAGGATTCCATGGTAGCTATATATGAGGACAGTAGAAGCCACAATGCTGGGTTTGAACAACAAGAGAAACCATGGAGCACCATGGAAACCATAGACCAAACTGTTGTTTCTTTTTGTGGCTTATAAGCAAAAATACAATGGAACCTTTGGGGAAGACAGCTTCAGAGCAATTACCGCAGGTACTCTTCTTAACAAGCTGTAGGCCACGAGACCTCAGCATGCTATCAAGAAACTGTTTTGACTTTCAGACACTGGGAAAGTCTGTCTAACCTCAATAACCTCCTTGCCATTCTTCCAGGAGGACCTGTATAAAGTCTGTATAATGATCTTTTATGAGAAAGAGGCATTTTGAACATATGCTTGTTTTCAAACTATTGTTCCCATAAGAGATTTCTGTTTCCTGAATCAAAAGCAGACTTAGATCAATAAATGCAATTTATTGTCCAGTTTTCACATTGTATTTAGCTATTACAGGAGACCTTCCCTGTTTAAAGTTGGCCTGCTCTTCCACTAATATCCTGTGTTGTTCCACCCAATTCCACTTTCTGAAAGAGTACACAAGAACATATGAAGAACCAAGCTGGATCAGTCCAGTGCTCCAGCATCCTGTTGACACAGTGACCAAGCAACTCCTCATAGGATCCCACAAGCAGGATAAGAGTTCTTGCCCTCTTGCCCATGTACCCCAGCAGCTAGTGGACACAAGCATAGTTCCTCTGCTATTGGAGGTAGCATATAACCATTGGGACCAGTAGCCATAGATAGACTTCGCCTTCATTAATTAGTATGGAGAAACATAGCACATATTCTTGCAGATATATAAATTAAACAAATAAGTGTATAATTTCTGGGATCCTCTCGATCTCCTTTTTGAATTATGAAACTGCAGCACTAATTTATATGAAGAAACAGGAAATCAAGAAGCAGTGGGAATCACCTTCCCTCCTCTATAGCATGCTTTCCTGTTCGGCTTCATTCTTTTCCATACACTAATAAACTTGCAACCCAGGATGATCCTCCCAGGACCTCTAAGCCAGGATAGAATGTTGTTACCATGCAATAACACGTAAGCTGGACTATATCCTAGTAATAAAAGCACAGACACAAAAACAACATTAATGGTCACAGTGCTACCAAATGTGGGATGATAAAGGAGCTTCTCCAAGCTGACAGACAAAGCTTCACAGCTCAGCCCCTGCTAAGGAAATGGCACCAAGACTAACTGGTAGGGGCACCCCCTTCTACCATGTGCAACTGGGTCCTCCAGAAGCTTCTCAAGTTTCGGACTGATGACATCTTCATGGAGCAAATGGCCAAGTTGGCTGTGCCAACTTGGATGCCACACCAGTGAAATCTAGACATGTGAAGAATGCAGTGCAGAAGGAAGGAAGATTACTCTGTGGTTTGGAAGCATCTTGTTTATCTTCTGATGAAGTATTATCAGTGGTGGAGTCCCGTAGCAGTAGTGATGAAATGGCTTCTTTCACCAACAATACAATATTGTCTAGAAAGAAGAAAAGCAAGGGACATAAAGAAAAATCTGATGGAGTAGTAGACAAAGAATATACCTCATGTATTGACCTTTCATTTCCCAAGTAGCCAGAAATCCAGCTATTCCAGAGTCTACTCCAAGTACTCTAAAAAAAATCAAAATATCTGCTTTTCTGGTCTAAAAAGTTGACTAGTAGTCCTCACTGTGGAATTCAGTTTCAAATTCCAAAAGCAGTTCAGGAATAACTGTTTGAAACATCTTCAGCCACCAGTCCTATATGAAGATGTACAGGGGAACCTTGACCAAGTGCGAATCACCACACTTGACTTTATATGTATATTCCTTTTCCTCCCTCCCTCCCTCCCTCCCTCTGTGTGTGTGTGTGTGTGTGTGTGTGGGCATAACCGTTACCTTGTCCCTGATAAATGTGAACACTGACATGAGACATAACAGAGTAAAAATGGTAGTCCATGATTGACCAGCTTGGAGTGGCAAGAAACCAAGATTTGACCATGGAGTGCAAATTGTGATGGAGCCTGTACACAGTGTGTTACTTTTTTATTGGTGGCATACACAAGTCCCTTCTTACACCTTTGAAGGTTCCAACATGGTTTACATCATATAAACTGGAAAAACTTAAGGAATTCTGATTTTACTTATAGACAATATCTATTTCTTTTATTTATTTACTGCATATGTTTGAGAATCGCCCATAGCTCTTTGGGCAACCTTTACAATAAAAATGCCATAAAATAACATTAGCTAAAATAATACAGTTAAAATATCATAATAAAATAAAGTCACACTGTGCATATTTAAATAAAAGATAAATATTAATAAAATAATATATTAAAACCAGTGCAATTGGTCTAAAAGGTCTAAGTAGTACCTCTGGTGGTAGAGCATTCCATAATCGTAGGAAGGCCTTAGGCAACAGGCAGGGAGGCATGGAATAAGGTGCTCCTTAAGATAATGTGGTCCCAAGCTGTTTAGGGCTTTATATGTCATAAGCAAAACCTTGAATTCTATGGTTCCATATTCTATGCTATCTCTAAAAGCAATTAAACTTGACAAGCCGGACTATCTGTTGGATCACTATCAGGAGCACTTTCCAAACCACTCTGATAGCTTTGACTCTTGGGCATTCTAGAAATTTAATAAATATGGAACTATTAATACACCAAGAATTGTCTTCAATAAGGAGTTGGAGTGTATAATAATTTGAAACTTTGAAACTTTGGGGAACATGGATATAAATTATACAAGACTAGGGTATCCTTTAAAATAAGGAGCTTGAGTGGTATTAGGTGAGGATTTACCTAGGCATGAGCCCCAGAGTTTCCAAATCTTGAGCATGGCCCCAGTTGTCCCAATTTTCCTTTATACAAGCTTGCTTCTTCCCTCTGGGCCCTGTAGCCTTGCAGTTCCTAGGAGACATTTGGATCCACTCTCTTAGTAGACTAATATGAAAGCACCGGCCCTTTATACTAGTGGGGAGATTACAGCCTTCGCTTCTGCTGTCTGCTCATTATTTTCATTAAGGCACACGTCTTGTAACTGGAGAAAAATGGCACTTGCTGGAATCTTCTTTCTCTTTGAAATCTTTGATCTCTGTTCTCTGGATTAGCTGGCTTTTTATGGGTGTGCTTCCCATCCTGCTGCCTCCCTTGAATTTTTACTCCTGGGGTGGAGGGTGTTTCTGAAATCAGATGTCTTCCTCTCTCTGGCCCCTACCTCCTTTTTCTCAAGCAGGGTGTCCATAGGAGACAGGGTCCTTTAGACATGTACTGCCGTGGGTAATTGATTTGGGGCGGCATGAAAAAGTATGATGGTATAGATTTTAAGATACTAATTTTCAGAAATTAGAACCCCAAAAATGTTGCTTAAATAAAAGTGTTCCA